TTGAATTATTACTTAAATATTGATTAACATGTTTATTTTTATTGATGACACATTACATATTTTACAAATTTAATATAAAAATTAATCTACCTAGCATTACTCATAATTTAACACACCTCGCAGTTGTGATAATTAAGCATAAGCGACAAGCACTAAGAAGTAGATCCATCTTACTTTTCCTTAGTTGTTGAAAACAAAAACCCAACTAATCCGAGCGGACGTTGTTTCTTAATTGTTATAGTTAGTCGAGCTTCACTCTTATATCTGGTAAAGAAAAAGAGCTTCACTTATATATATATATATATATATATATATATATCAATTAAATATTAATTGAGAGCAATGGTTGACAACTAAAGGTATATCTATATATGTATATATATATATATATATATATACACATACAACATAAAAAAATTACTTTCACACTTTCGTTTTCTATCTTTGCTTTTTTAATTTATTTTTATTTCTTAATTATTTTCTATTCATTAAAAAGCAGAGGAAGAAAAAGAGCTGCATAAATCAGTTTCAATATACGACACATATATGTACGTAGCAATATCTTCCAGCATAGCGTGCATGGCAGCATCTTATTAAAATCTTGACGTGTTAGGTTTAATGTTACTTTCCCATCAAATTAAAGGTCTAGGAGTGACATCTTTAACCAAATAATTTAACCTCTGCCGGTGCAAAAGCACATGCAAATATTGATTAAAACATTAATGTGCATTAGGTAATGAGTTAATTAATAGGGTCATTAGTTTATGTCAAATATTAATTCACTCCTCCACCCAAAAAAATATTCGTTCACTCGCATGCAGCCAATTTCAAATGTCCAAGAAACACACAGTGCTTAATTAAAATAAAAATTATACATCGATATTTTTACACTAAGGGAAGGTGAGTTGGCAAAATTATACATCGATACTTTTACGCTAAGGGAGGGTGAGTTGGCAAAGTTACATAATGGACAGCCTAATTTGGTATCAAATTTGTCATCCACAAGATTCGAACCTAAGACCTCTCACTTTCAAGTGAAGATAAGTACCATCAGACCATGGTACTGAGTGGCAATTAAAAAAATATTTAAAAATAAAAAAATAACAGAGAGTTTTAACAAAAGGTCCGCAGTACTGTTTATTTTAACAAAAAAAAAATCACATTTTTGCACTAAAAAGTCAATCCTGGTACTATTCACGTTACCCTTTATTTTGTCATTATTGTTAAAACTCAAAGTTTTCAAACTTTTTTCATTAATTTTCCTAAAATAATACTGAATTTAACACCGGTCGCTATTTCTAGCGATTTTACGAGAGACATATATTTGTCAAATTGTGTGTGGTTTTAACTTTAAAGCATCATCATATTTAATCTTCAAATCCCCGCAAGAAATAAAAAGTTAGATTGCATGATTATATTTTACAACTTAATCCACATGAAAAGTGTGTTAATGGGCTCTGAAATTCAACCGATTTTTCCAATTTAGAGCGTGACTTAGTTTTCATGCACCAAATTATATCATAACTTATGATCGGTTTTTACCCATTACAAGTGGAGCGATTAGAAAACCCCTTCAATTTTATAGGACCCTGTAGCTTAATAAGCCCAATTATTAGACGATATATAAGAATCGCTACTACAACATGTCTTGGCCACAGTGTTGCTTTGTTATGTGGTCTGCCAGATTATCGATGGGAAGGTTGAAGGCTTGTTGTGAACATGGACTTGCGGAGATGGAAATTGAAGAGCAGAATTCTAATGTCTGATTTTCCACGGCCGCTTCAGCGGAATCAGATCTACAGACTACAGACATGAGAGGAGAGGAGGACAAGTGGAACTTCACTTATGCTCGATAAATACAGTAAAAACTCTCTGTAGTGATATAATAATAGAAGTTTTAACAAAAAGCTCACGGCACTGTTCACTTTAACGAAAAACCACATTTTTACACTAAAAAATCAATCCTGATACTATTCACTTTATCCTTTATTTTGTCCTTATCGTTAAAACTCAAAATTTTTAAGCCATTTTCATTAGTTTTCCTTATAATCTATGCGTCGTCAGTACTAAAAAGTGCAAACCAAATATCAGAATAAACAAAAATATGTTAATTGTAGCTAGTTCTCCATAAAAAGTTAAGATCAAATAAAATTTTTTATAGTGTAGGTGTCATTTTTTTTTCTTTCTAATTTTACATCCTGGAAATCGACATGCTCCGTTACTAACTCAAAACCTCAAGAGTATGAGTAAATACATTTAACCACTTAAACAATACGCACCTTGTAAGCAAAAATTAATTGTTTTTATCTTTTTTTTTATATACCATCTTGGTAATCGACATGCTTCATTACTAACTCAAAACCTCAAGCGTATGAGTAAATGCATTTAACCACTTAAGCTATAAGCACCTTGTAAGCAAAAATTAATTGTTTTTATCTTTTTTTATATACAAGTAATAGTTGGGAGCGGAAAATCAAACTTAAGACCACGAGTGCAAGAGTGTCACATGAGTTACGTTGAGTTTGGGTTCATTACACAGACATGGCAGGTTAAGTAACTAGCCCGACCTAAATACAATGGATATAAACTCATAAAACCAAAGGTCCAATACTCTCCTATTTCCACTTATCAAACGAGTTTTGAACTGAATCTGAATCGATCAACTGAGTGAATTGAATACTTTGCCATAGTTTCTAGGATTATAGGACTTTCCTCCTCATTTATTTTTTTTCTTTCATCAAAGTAACGATTTCAATAGATAAACTTCAACAATACAACAAAGAAGTCTAAACGATAGAAAAAGCGCCAAGCTCTACAGGGCACAAAGAAACGAGCCCAGAAGCAAAAAATTATCCCCGACAAACGCCTAAACACAAGATCTAGACCCACCCAAAAATATAGAAAAAGCTGCAATACATATGAAGGATTAAAATGGTCATGACAGCAGTTTCTGTCACTTTCATATGTTAAACAGTAAACAGACAGCATATGAACAAATCCCCAAGTTCAGGCTGCATGTGCTAGAAAGAATTCGAAACACATTCAAAACATTTTGATCATCACCGTTCGAAAGATAAAGAATGTCAGGTGGGAGAGGAAACATCACAGAAATTTCTCAATATTTGGCACCTTCTTGTTTCCCTTTCTTACAAGCTTCAAATAACTAATGGAAAGGCCTTTATTCCATTAAGGTTGAGTCGAAACTTAAATCACCACAATTATTTTGTCTTTGCTTTAGGTTAGCAAGCAAGCTGTGTGTAACCCTTTGAACTTGAAACGGGTTAAAAAAATTTTGCATGGTGTATAATTTTAGTACTTATCTTTTCCTGTACCAACTAGCTTTTGGTATAAAGTTATTTCTCTTCCTAATAGTGGAAGATATCTCAAATTCGAATTTTCTTTTTCATTCTGAAGGAAAAAGAGAGGGGCCCTCTACTGTGACTAGGGTTGGTTCGGTATGGGATCCTGAATCCCAAACAAAAAAAATTCGGGACGGGAATTTGAAGACCAATCCTGAACTAAAATTTTGGTATTCCCAAATTTTGGAATTCCCAAAATGTTTTCTTTATTTCGGGAAGGGATTGGATTTTGAGTTTTGGGCTGAAATTTGAGATTTTTGGGTTGGGGCTAAAATTCGAGCTTTTGGTCTACAATTCTTCATATCAATTGAAATTTAGGCTCTTTACCTCTTACCAATTTGAAATACCAATTCATTCATACAAAGTCAAATTGACGTTCCAAAGTTTCAAACTACTTAATTTCAATTCTTCTATTTATAATATAGTCTACTATCAAACTACTTAAATTCAACATTCAACATGCATGCCACAAAATAAATATCCTATATATTTTCGGTTCGGTTCGGGATTCTTGGATAATTGAATATGTAATCCCAATTCCCGTACCAAAAAGTTCGGGATCGGTTCGGTATGAATCCCGAAAATTTTAGTATTATTGGTTTGAGAAATTTTCGGTATAGGATCGGGATTTTTTTGGTTTGGGATTTTTGAGAAAAATTCCAGCCCTAACTGTGACATGGTCGATGTGGCATTCAAAGATATTACAACCCTCCCACTATATGAAGGTGTACGGTAGCTAAGAGGAAGACTAGGTTTAACTTGCCTGATACAACTTGTGAGAATCTGCTAGGAAAGTTCCTCGCAAGAGTGAAGATGATGTGCAAAAATTTCTAATTGAACTTGAAAGACGCTCCAAAGTGTGGCTTTATAAAAGGCAGTCCCTTCTAGTCTTGTGATGCAGGGCACACGAAAAATCAAAGAGAGACTAACTAATTGCAAGTGAGAGTTATCGTAAGGGTGTGAAATGGAGATTGAGGAAGTAAGCAACTGCGAGGCACTGCCTTTGCTCTCTTTAAATCATGTGTCCTTGTTGTGCAGATCAGTGTGGACTTCTATGAGGTTCTATGAAGAAGTGTTGGGGTTTGTTCTCATCAAACGCCCCTCTTCTTTCAACTTCAATGGAGCCTGGTTAGCTTTCTCTCTGTTATCATGCTTTTTAGAGTGCGAAATAATAAATTCGATACACATAATGCCTATAGGATAGACTGGTTTTTCATATGCAGCAAAGTTGAATGTGATGGTTGTATTCTGTAAACAAATACATGTGTATCCACGGCTTGTGTAAAAGAAAATAACAAGTTAATCTGTCTGACCTTGTGTAGGTTGTATAGTTATGGCATTGGGATACACTTGATTGAAAGTCCAGCAATGGAAGACTATGAATTGCGACCGATCAATCCCAAGGACAACCACATCTCCTTCCAGGTAAGAGCTGTACTGCTACTTATAGAACCTGTAATATTAATTGTGGTCAAATATAACAAATATTCTTCGTTGATGAACATGCAGTGCACTGATGTTGGACTTGTTAAGAGGAGGCTGCAAGATATGGGGATGAGGTATGTGACAGCCGTGGTGGAGGACGACGGGGTCAAGGTAGACCAGGTGTTCTTCCATGACCCAGATGGGTATATGATCGAGCTCTGCAACTGTGAGAACATCCCAATCATTCCAATCTCTGCTTGTTCCTTCAAGCCCAGAGGTAGCAGTTTCAAGAAGGCACCGACTAGTTGTGGATTCATGGAGACTCTGATGATGGAAAGCTTGAGCCTGGACATGATGAACTTCTCATTTTGAGTTTCGAAAAGAGTGAAATGTTTCACTACTTTTTGATTAAAGAAAAATGTTACAAGCATACTACAGTGTCTATATATCTATCCTGTCTTGGTCTGAAGATAAGTTGTATTGGTTTTCTGCTATGTTTAATAAAGAATTGTGAGGAAGATTGGGTTGTACTGTGTGTATGAATATACTTAATCTCTTGAAGCCAATATATGGCATGTGATTAAGCTCATATTAATGAAAAAAGAAGCTCCCAATACAGTTCTAGTTATTTTGCCCACATAGAGTTGGATACATATCTTACGGAAGTTTATCTTTCTTCACTACTTATAATTTGAGGTTAAATGAGGCACATAAATTGAATGCATACAGGAAGGTTCGAAGATTCATATATTTCTTTAGGTTTGAACAGAAATGTCTCTACAAATGAGGCACATAAATCAAATGCTTTTCTTTTTTCTGTAGTATGATCAACATTCAGCAAGAATCACAGACCTTGAAGAGGTGGGAGAAGAGACGAGAGTGAACTGTCTTGGTTTGATCAGTGGAGTTGAGATGCTTGTGATTGATGCTTTTACTCCTATTCTCATTCATCAAATATTCATCACCTTCGGATGTGGATGCATACATGGCCTATTTATATCGAAGAAACATTATGGTTACGGTGAGGCTGAAACCAAGTTTCTCATGTCAGTAGCTAAGAACAAGAGATATTATACAGATGTCCATCTATATCAGGAAGGAAACCTTTGTCCATCATTTCTTCTTTTACAACTTCATAAGTAGTTCGATTTGGGATCAAACCTTTCTCCAACATCTCATTAAGAAGTTTATTTGCAACTTCAAGTTTGCCCTTCATGCAATATCCCTTGATCAACACGTTGAATGTTACAATATTTGCCCGCTTCCCTTCTTTCTCCATCTGTGCCCTCACATTCAAAGCTGCCTTCATGTTTCCTTCCCTGCAATACCCATCCATCAAGGTATTGTATGTCACATGGCTAGGACTCAAACCCTTTTTGAACATCTCATTCAATAACCTTTCTGCCTTTCTGGACTCCCCTCCTTTGCACAATCCATCTATTAATATATTATACGTTATGGGATCAGCTTTCAAGCCCCTACTCTCCATTTCATCCAAGAACTTCCTGGCTGTTCCCACGTTTCCTTGCCTACAGAAACCAGAAATTTGGCAGTTAAATGTCGAAGTGTTGGGGGAAACCCCTCTCTCTGACATTGAATTAAACAACGCATATGCTTCCTCCATCCTCTCATCCTTACAGTAAGCATCGATTAGCATATTATAGGTTATAACATTAGGCGCCATACCTTGGTTCCTAGTATCATCAAACAACTCTCTAGCTTCCTTCATCCTCTTCTTCTTGCAGAACCCATTTATGAGTGCATTGTAGGTAACTATATTTGGCTTCAAACCAAATCCAAGCATTTCATCCCGCAAACCACAAGCCTCGTCCAGCTTCCCATTACAACATAACCCATTAATAAGTGAATTATATGTAACCACATTGGGTTTCAAACCCTGCTTCATTTCCTCGAAAACCTTGAGTGCAGATGCTACATTTTCATCTTTACAGAACCCATCAATCAAAATATTAAAAGTAATCTCATTCGGGCGAATATTATTAGCCACCATCTCCTTCAAAATGGCATCGGCTTTGTGCATCTTCCCCAAACCACCCATTTTGCAATACCCGTCAATAAGAGAATTATAAGTAAGCACATTCGGAGGGATCCCCCAAGCCTTCATGTCGTTAGTAATATCCCTTGCCTTGTTCAATTTCCCAACTTTACACAACCCATTAATCACAATATTGAAAGTGAACAAATCAGCCTCTATCCTCCTCCTAATAATCTCTTTGTAAACATACTCAACACACCCAATTTCTTTTTCCTTCACCAAACCACTCAACAAAGGGTTACAAGCCAATTTCGACAACTTAAACCCGTAATCACCGGCTCTCTGAAACGCCTCGAAACCCAACCGGGTCCTCATATTTTTCACATATGCCAACACCAACATATCAACTATAACACAATTTGCACAAAACTGACTCCCACCCATTGCAAGCAAGTGAAAAATCGAAGAAACCGAATGCTTTTCATGGCTTCTAACAAATCTATCCAAGAAAGCTCTGATATCCGAGTACTCTTTCACATTTGCTAGGGAGTGCAAGAGCCTACAAGTAAGTTCAAGAGGGTGTGTAAATTTGGGATCCTTCTGGGACCAAGTGAAGTACCTGAGTATTATCTTTGAGTCAGCTCCCGAGTCGAACAGTTGGCGGGCAACTGTCACAAAGCTCGAGTCTTTGAGATGGGTTTTGAACTCCGACCAGTGTTGCTTTTCTATGAGCTCTGAAATTAATGGGAGGTTGACTGGCGGCGATGTTGGAGTTGTGGAGGTGGAAGTTGAGGAGCGGAGTCTGGTGCAGGTTCGGCCAGCATGGAGGCATGCGAAGGAGGAGGAGGAGGAGGAGAGGAGCTTCAGCATTTCTTTGTGGCGGGAAAATTAAAATTGGAGGGAAAAAAAGGGGAAATTAAATTAGGGTTTGAGTTTGTTCGTAGCCATGGCGGTTCTTCTCTGTGTAAGCTCCAACGGCCATTTTTGTGGAGTTTCTGGAGGATTAGTTCAACGGCTGCCGCGTTTTTATGTATAATGAGTGCCGGGCCTTAAACGGGCCGGTCTGGGCCTAGGAATGAAAGCCCATTTCACTTGTTTTTAGTGTTTGAAAAGTCCTTTTGGGTAAATTACATTTTACCCCTTCAGGTTTGGTGTCGATTGCAACTTCTTACAGCATCTTAAAAATATTTCAATTTCATACATTTACTTATCATTTTATTTCAATTTCTTACATCCGTTAGAAAATTCGTTAAGTAAACCGTTAAGTGATGATGCGGCAGATATAGGATTCACATTTGTGCTGACATGGCTCCCAAAATTGTGCCACGTGGCAAATATATATATATTATGCATTTACAATATAATAATTTACCCTATTTAAGATTAAAAATAAATGAAAAACCCTAAAACCCATCTTCCCCGACCCATATTCTCCCTCTCCTCCACTCTTCCCCCCAACCCCAAAATCCCACCCCATCCCCACCCCAAACCCCAAAAAACCCAGATTTGTAATCAACCAAAAAATGTGTGTGTGTTCTGATCCCACGAGATGCGCCCAACAACAACATAAGAAAGGGATTTTGGTATTTGATAATCGAATGAGTGCTATTCTTCCTGGATTTTTTGGTTGATTACAAATAATCTGGGTTTTTTGGGGTTTTGGGTTGGGGGGGGGGGGGGGTAGTGTTGCTGGGGAGGGGTGGTATGGGGGGTTTTGGGTTGTGGGTGGGTTTTTTGAATGGGAGGGGGGGTGAAGAGAGTGGAGGTGGGTGAGGGAGAAGATGGGTTTCAGTTTTTTATTTGTTTATTTTATATTTATAAAAATAAAAAAATAAAAAAAAGAAGGGTAAATTATTATATTTTAAATGCATAAATTTTTTTTTTTTTTTGCCACATATCCACATGGCACAAATTTAGTAGCCACATCAACACAAATGTGGATCCCATATTTGTCATGTCATCACTTAACGGATATTCTAACGGATGTATGAAATTGAAATAAAATGATAAGTAAATGTATGAAATTGAAATGTTTTAAAGATGTTGTAAGAAGTTGCAATTGACTCCAAACTTGAGGAGGTAAAATGTAATTTACCCCATTTTTTTTGTTTTTGTGCTTTTGTTTTTTTGTTCTTTTGTCAATATCTTAAACAAATTTGGTTGAGAAATGGGGAACGACGAAAATTATTAAGGAGGCCTCAATTAAATTTGATATTGTAATGAGTTTTTGTCATTTAAACAAGAAAACAAAGCTATGACTGTTACCCTTCAAATTTGATACATGAACACACACACACAAATATATATATATATATATATATATATAACGCATAATTTTAACATAATTAACGTTAGTGGTGGATCTACACCAGGACAAATGAATGTTGTTACCCAGGGTCGGTCTAGAGATTTTTTAGGCCCAGAGCAATGCTAAAAAATGTGTCATCACTTTATATAAGAAAATTATTTGTTTTCACATGTAAGACATCAATAAAATTATACTTAGAAAATCACTTCAAACTTAATAATTTAGAAATACGGAAAAACTAATTTATTTTGTATCGTGAGAAGGAAACAAAAAAAACTCCAGGTTTACAAGTAGATAGATATTGTGACATCCCGTCCCGAAATTATCTAAAACGTGCATGTGAAATGACATTTTTACCCCTAGTTCGTTTATGTTAAGTTATTGGTTGTTTTGTATGTGTGTTGGCACGATCTGGGCCACACACTCACACCCTCACTCTCCCTATTCCTCTGTCTCTTTCCCTGTCTCTCTCTCTCCCGAGTTCCCTTTCTTCTTCCTCTTCCTTTGAACTGGTACGGACACACACACACACAACTACACTATTTCACCACAGATCGAAGAATCTAAGATCACAGTCGAGATCGTGAGGTCGAGGGGAGCACGATCATACCATTTTCAAGTATGAAATCCGTTGTTTTCACGTTGATTCTACAATGGCAGATTCGTGTACTGTTCATGAAAGATTAACCTAGCTAGTTTTTGGGATTTTGAAGCTTGTAGTTGTGTTTGTGAGGTCCCAAGGAGCCTCGGAGTGTATCGTTGGACGGAAGTGGACGTCAGATTAGCCTGGTTCGAGCTTGGTCGGTTATGGAGTTTTTGGACAGGTATAATCTTGTAGTTTTAGACCTTAAAACTTGTTTGGACGTGTTCTACTAGTTCTAAGGTTTAATTTGGTGCAAGAAACGTGAAAAACGGTGGAAAAATGAGCGAGAAAACCCAAGTTGCAGGTTTTCCCAGTTTCCGGCGCCGGTGACGTCGCCGGAGATTGAACGGAGAAGGTGACGGAATATTCCGTCAATTCTGACGGAATATTCCTGACGCCGTTAACGGAATCTGTCAGTTTTGACGGAATATTCCTAACAGCGTCAGTTGACGCCGTCAGCGTGCCAGGCACGTGCTTGCGCGTGGCTGGCGCGTGTGGCCGTGCCTTGGCCGGCGCGTGCGGCGGTGGAAAATTTTTCTAAAAATATGGTTGTGATCCTGAGGTTGTGTAGAGCACGTTGGTATATTCAATTGTCCATTTTGAGCAATGTATGAGAAGTTATTTTGAACGGAAGGTTATGTGCTTTAAAATTAACGTTTTTATAGTATTTTCGCATATAGGTGACACGTATCCCGAGGACGAGCGTGCTCACGCGAGGCAGGGGGGCTATGACCCTTCCACGTATCAGTGAGTGGGCTTTTGTTTTCCGTATATACCTATATACTTATAATTCCCAGAAATTTTATATAAATGCTTATCTGTTATATGCCATTCCTTTTATATTATTGGTGGTTATGCATGATTAGTTACATATACGTTATTTATACATTCAATTATATGTATATATGATGGTGCTGTGGAGGCACAGGTAAGTGCCAGGTAAGCGTTATTTAACAATCGCATTAAATAGTGGTTAGAGATGATTAGAGAGCTCATAACCTGCACCCCCGGTGTTAGTGCTCCCGCCCAGAGTAGGGCACAGTCCTTCACGTGTCGTTCACCTCCCGCACCACACACTCAGCTTGGATCCAAGTTAGGTGCACAGTCTTGTCGTACAGACCACTGTAGGTGGTTCCGACTCGTAGGTGACCCGCGATTATTCGCACAGCCTTCACGTGATCGTAGCACTAGAACGTTTATATGTATTACACCCAGGCCTGTCGTACAGACCACTATAGGTGGTTCCGACTCGTGGGCAGGTTTAGTTATTGAGATTGAGATTTGAGCTCTAGATGCAGCCGTACAGGTCACGTTAGGTGACTCCGGCTGCCAGACTATATATTATTGATACGATTTGTAACTGAGCACTTGCATATTGTTATGAGGTTTTGACATGGCATAAATTTGAGCATGATTGGCATGTTTATATCTACGTACTTATGTTTATTTTCTGGGAGGTATACAGGTTTTACGGTGAGGGGTTAGAATGTATTTTATTAAATGGTTTTCAAAGAGCTTTGTTTTTGCCCACTCACACTTTTGTTTTGTGCCCCTCCAGGTTTTAGCTAGCTAGCAGGTTCGGTGGTTTCCCAGAGGGCTTTCCGGCGCTTCTGACAGACACGCACCAATGTAGGGTCACTTCGGGTGCACTGTTATCGTATTATGTTAATTTGGACTGCTTAGGCGTTATGCTCTGAACTTGTGTCGTTTCACACTAGCACTTATTACTTTGACTTTTGTATATTAGTTTTTAATTATTCGTACTTTTATATTACTATCTTACTAGCTTCCACATTGTGCACATGGCTACGTCACTTCCACGTGACGGCCAGCACACTCTGATCTCGGTCGGGGTGTGTCAGATATGAGTTTTGCTTTCCATCTGAACTTTTAAAGTGTTTTTGTATAAATCGTGATGTGTTTTTTCTTATTTACTAACCTTGTCAATATGGGATTAAAAAAATAATGATGTTTTTGAGTCTTTAATTGATATGTATAAGCAATAAATGGGTACTAAATTAAATTTTTTGATGACACGTCATATGATTTGCAAATTTTGTCTAAAAATTTGGTCAACGCATTACTCTTTGTTGAAGATTAAACTTGAATTGAAATAAATGTTTAAAAATAACAACCCACTTAGTACTAGCTACTAATTAAAAATAAATTAACAACCAAATAGAAATTCGTAAAAATTGAAAAGAATAAACATGCACTTAGCATTTCAAACTTAAGACCTCTTTTAAACAACAAAATGTCAAAAACCATTGATTCTAATTAAACTTCTTGATTATTTAGCTAAATTTTATATATTTATACTCTTATGAAAATAAATTTGTAAAAATTGAAAGGTAAATAAGCACACATGGTGTTTTGAACCCAAGACCTCCTCATTAATTTCAAATAACAAAATCACTAGTTCTAGTTAAATTTCTTTGTTATTGAATCAAATTTTATAAATTTACTAAACGGTCTTAGTTTTAATTCATTTTTTGCAGACATGATCTTTATAAAGTGATTTATAATATGAACAGTTTTAATCATAAGTACAAAATTCTGTAATTCAAACATGATGAATTTTAAATAAAATTTTGTACTCATCCTTGAATAATCGATCATTGTTATTTTTTTAAATAAAACAGATAAATGGAGAGGACACAAAGATTGCGAAAATTATTTTCCTTTGTAAAACAAATTTGGTTTTTAATTTGATTATCAGATCTTGAAGAAAATAATAGGTTGGTAGTATTCATGATGTCACGTCCTTCCCATCCACTCAATACATTTGTGCACCCCAAAGATGCTTTGTGGACGGCAATGCAGGATCGAAGCTGTAAGCAAATCCATCACAGCAAAGCAACAACATTTACTAGAAACTCAATGGGCCCCATGTCAGATATCCAACTGGTGGCTGAGAATCCCCCATCAGCCAGGCACCATCGAATCTCAGCCCCACCTCCTGCGTTTTCAAAACTTGTGGCCGAGCTCCAATCTTTCAAGCTTTCTCAAAGTTCCACGGAGAGATAGAGAGGAGAGAGAGAGAGAAGGGAGAGAGAGAGAGAGTTTCTGTTTTGAGCTAACAAAGTTGACAAGTCCAACGTATTTATTTTATCATATTATCTGTTGCCATTGCTTGTCAAATTTCACACAGTGTTATATATATTATATACATTTGTGTATTTATATATTCGTTTGTTTACGGTTTATACTATTATTGTTTTGGCTTCCGGAATCTCCCCAACAAAAACCAAACACAACCCACTTTTTTCTCTGTCTAAAATTCGAATCCTTTTCCTGTTCTTTGTCCTCCCCATCGTTATTGACTTCACCAAACACACCCAAATCGATCTTGCTGAATTGGGTTCGCTTAAAGTTTCATACTTTTTATGCTTTCTGGATTTTGGATTGGACTGGATTGGATTGGATTGGATTGGATTGGATTGTGAGCTTTTGTGCTGTGTTATCTTTGCCGACTGGATTGAAGAAATATGAGAGTGGTGGAAGGGATTAGTAATTATGAGAACACTTTGTGATTCCTGTGAAGGCGCAGCCGCAATCGTGTTTTGCGCTGCGGACGAGGCTGCTCTTTGCCGCGCCTGCGACGAGAAGGTATGATTTTTTTTACCGTTTGACTGTTAATATTTTTCAAAGTTTTTACAGTGCCCAGTTAGCAGTTTCATAAGTTACAGCAGGAAATCTAGGTAAAAAAGTACTAAGTAATGATGTTTTTTGTTTGCTGGGTGCAAATTGGGACCGCATATTATCTGGTTGCATTGTTAGTTGCTCCATGTTTAACTAATGTGAGGTAAGCAGACGTGAGTTAAGTCAGTTGGCCAAGGCAGTCTGCCCGCCTCGTGCCCCCTCAGGATCAAATCATGCTTAAGTGCAAATTTTTCCCGTAGTTTAGAATATATGTCCTTTAGTGAAAGGGTAAAAAAGTTCCTAGAGTAAAAAACTAGAGGAAGAATTGGAACTAGAAATATATTAGTGACTGAGTGAGAATGCTTGTCGAAAATCGTTGGATATTGCTTATGGTAAATGCTGGCATTGCTAATTGGTCACAAATTTTGCTAATTGGTCACAAATTTTGGAATTTACTTTTGTTTTTCATGTTTGTGTAATCTCTGTTCGGCTTGTATTCGAGATGCTTTAAACTGTTGATCGGATGGCAGGTTCATATGTGCAATAAGCTTGCTAGCCGGCATGTTCGTGTTGGTCTTGCTACTCCAAGTGAAGTTCCCCGCTGTGACATTTGTGAAAATGCACCTGGTATGCAGGCCTATGTTTCGATTCTATCTATTCCCTGCTGATAAATGTCTTAATGTTGTTTGAAAGAAAGAAAAGAAAAATAATGACGCTCATTCTATCTTCTGGGAAACTACGTGTAGCTTTCTTTTATTGCGAGATAGATGGAAGTTCCCTCTGTTTGCAATGTGATATGATTGTTCATGTTGGAGGCAAAAGAATGCATGGAAGATATCTTGTACTGAGACAAAGAGTTGAGGTGGGTTTGTTGATCCTACGTACTAAGAATCGGATTATTTTATTTTTGCGTAAGTGTTGGGGATGACTTAAATGTTTTACACTATTTGGTTGTTCCATAGTTTCCAGGAGATAAACCTGGTAATAGTGATGACCCAGCTTCCCAACCCATTGATCCAGCTGAGATCAGAAGAGTACAACAACACCATCCACCTAGAATGACAATAGGAGAGAACCCGCAAAATCACCGGGTGTCTCCTATTCGTGCTTCAGATGCCAATGCCGATGGGCATGTAAAGATGGATAATAAGTTGATTGATTTGAACATGAAGCCTCATCGGATGCATGGACAAGCTTCAAACAAAGAGGTACGAGTGCTTTCATTTTTTAGTACGATCGGCTTGATCCTAGCTCTGTTTTTGTCTTAGCATGTATCTCAACACTGCAAACGGAACATTCTCACTGTCATACAGAACGGTTCCCATCTGTATTTCACAACAGTTGCTTATTAGGGATAAATTGCACAAGTTTGTAATGTATGTGCAGCTAAACTAAGAACACAAGCCGGTTTCCTTCATAAGCTAAAAATTTGAAGCCGGAAAGGCAGCTAAATTTGGAACTCGTAAGTTGAGAATTGCCATCGTTACTTGTGTCTAAGAAAAGAGTTTGCATTTTCTATACATCTATTTGTTTTTAGCATTTCACAAATATATAATAGACACATCTTGTACTCAAGTCCGTCTTTCGGACATCATGAAAGCAAACTGACGTTGTTAGAGAAACGATACTTCTGTGTTTTTGTGTCGATTATCAGATTCTAAATGCTCAAACTTCAAGTTAGCATTGCTCTACGACCTTGTGCATAACTCCACAGAACACATTCTCTCTGTTGATGCTCGAATCGCTTTAACTAGATCAGTGCATAACCTGTTGGCTTTTCGTATTAATCAGGACTAGTATCGGCATATCTGGAATCATCGGCTCGAGCAGATTACGTCGCTGGCGAGTCGCAAGAAGGGTGCTTCCAGTGTACCTTTGTTGTGTTGCTGCTTCATGTACAACTGTGAAATGGGCATTTGATCTGTATGTAGTTGAGTTGTGCAGAGGAAATAATAGTAAAATGGTATCCATAACTTTGCTTCAAAAGAAAAACATATTTTTGCAAGTGCTTGTATATGCAAAAATTGAGGACCTTCTTGTTTTTATAGTCGCACTGAAATTTGAAATTTTAATATATGCCATCCTTTCTTCAAAAAAAAAAAAAAAATGAGAATTTTAAAAGTACTTGTTCAATTCTAAGAAAACGGTTTGAATAACAAGTTCAACGTAACTTTTATTCAGTCATTTAGTACTAAAGTTTAGTAGTATTCTTCTTTAACTAAGTGAGAGGTCTCACCTCTTCATTTTTAGTGTAGATAATATCGTTGTTCAAAAAGAAAAACTTTTATTCGGTTTTTTTTCTCGATAGCTTATGGTCTTCACTGGGTTACCGCCTTCTTCTTGGATCAATTTTTTTTGCTTTAGAAATTAATAAGTATTCAAGTAATTTAGTTACAATTATCATTTTTTAAAACAAAATATTGGATGGATTGAAGAGTTGCAACTATGGGCATTCTGATATTTTGGAAGTCCTGTGCGAATTTTATAGAAGAGGTTTTTTTTAAGATAGTTTTTCAAGGATTTTTTTTTTTTTTTGGGGACAATTTTCAAGATTTTCTTTAAAACAATGGATTCATGCAAAATTCAACAATCAAAGTTTCAACTTAATCAAAATTGGCATCTCAATCTAACTAATTGAATAATCTCACTAATTTTAGATTTTTTTTTCTTTAACAGCCAATTTAAATTAGGATTTAACAATCATCCCTGAGGGAATTACGAAAAGACGCTTGTGTTTGTGGGTAGAAGCAATACACCTATTTTTTTTTTCTTTATTGTAGAGAAAAGTGAAAAACTAATATAATAACTATAGATTCCACTTAATCAATTGTAATATTATATTGCTTGTTGGAGCAAAATTTCTTTCAAGAAGAAATATCTCCACATGTATCTTGACCGTACACTCTTCTAATCTTCATGCGCTTCATATAAGCGGGGGGTGGTGTGCTTGCAAAAGGTAATTTGACGCTCACGTCAGTTAATGTACATCGGTGCTTTCAAATGTATGGTATGAATTGCGTACCTTCGCCCATTGATGCAACACCATTTACATAGTATCTAAACACTTGGAGGGCAAGCTCCACTCGTGTCAATTTCGTTCCTCTCCACGTCGTAGAAAAGTCATAGGTTATCCAATTACGCGGATTTAGATTATATCCGGATTCAAATTGTGGAAATCTTAGGAATTTTTATATTCTAACCGTTTATCGTACATTGTACGATCAGAAATCATTTTGAATTTTTTATTTAAAATTAAACACAAATAGTACATAATGAAAATTGACCGCATGATGTACGATAAACGGTCATGATGTGAGGATTCCCAGCATCCCACAAAAAAGAGAAAATTTTCATTGTGATGGAAACACGGGTGGTATACCACGTGTTTTTATGTAAGACGTAAAAAATTTTATTTTTTAAGTTATTAACATTTTAACACACATATCCCACTATTTATATAATGATACGTGATGTACCACCAGTGTGCTAATCACACTAAACATTTCTCCATACAAGGACCTCACCCCAATTAGGCAACCACTAGTCCCGCGCGGCATGCATTGAAATTTGAAAAGGTAGGTAGCGTAATTAGTCAAACTCGCTCGAGGTTATGCAACCAACTCTACTTAAGTACTTATGCAACCAACCCTACCCTTATCCTAGTTACGACGTCGTTCCTATAACTACAAAATATTTTAGGCTCCACATTGCCTGAAACGAGAAAATCAATCTTCATATGTAAACTGATTTTTTTTTATTGGAAATTATATTTATTGAAGGATGAAAATTTTAAAAACTTTCTGACATAAGGGCCTTGTGCCGTTGCATCTTTTGCATGCCTTCAACACCGCCTCTGATTGCAACCAACGTATAAATTTAATGGTGTTATTAGTTAGATATTTGTCCCGTGTTCAAAAATTTATCTATCAGTTCAATGGATATTTGTCACTTGAGAATCGGTGACAAGAGGGGACTAGGGTGGCACTCATGTGTAGGGGACCAATCTTTGAGTGACATCGATCGTTTTTATCTTAAACTTACATCTTATAATGATTTGTTTAGAAATTATTTTCAATAACTGAAACCGTTTTTAGATAAAATATATTTTTTTATTTTAAAAGCATTTGACTGTGCTTTTTGCAAAAAACATCAATATGAGAACCCATTTGGTAACATTTTATAAAATTTGTTTTGTAAAATGAAATGACAAATAGGATTGTGCATTTTATGATTTGAGAATGCATTTGGTAATTTAATCCGATAACAATTTTTTAGAATGAAAACAATGAAAATACTACCAAATGTAAATATATGTATAGATAAATTTGTGTTTGGCAATAATTAATGGTAGTGGTGGTGGGATGGTGGTTAAGAACGGGATTAGTGTTGGTAGCAATGGTGGTTGGCGGAGTGGTAATAGTGGTGACAATAAAGGTGTTAGCAGCAGTGAGATATAGGTGGTGACAATAGAGGGGAAGCGGGAACTGATGGAGAGAATGGTTGCGGTGGTTGTGGTGGAGGAGGCTGGAGGTTGCGATGGATGATTGTGAAAATGGTGGTTGATATGATGGTGGCGGAAATGGTGAAGGTGGTGGTGGCCATGGTGAGGATAATGTGGTTGGAGAATATGATCATGGTGGTGGGAGGCGGTGGTGATGGGCATGGTGGCAAGGGTGAAGGTATGGAAAATATGGTGGTTGTGTTAATGGTGGTGGTTGTGATGGTGGCGAGGGTGATGGCGGTGGAGAATATAGTGACAACAATGGGAGGTGGTGGTGTAAAAGATGGTGGCAGTGGTGATGATGATGGTAAGATAGTGGTGGTGGTGGCAATGGTGATAACAGTGGTGGCGTACATAATTTTATTTTTTTTTACTCTAGCTTTGTTTCATAATGTACCTCTTATTTTCTATTATTTTGAAAAATGTTATTGAAAAGCATAGGAAATATCAATTTGATATTCTACATAACGTAGAAAAAATATTATTTTCTACATTCTATTATAAAATCAACAGTGTGTATGCAATGGAATAAATAAAATAAGACACGATATTTGCAAAGTTCTCTCTACAGTCAGTGTGATTGGAGTACGTCCTCGGGGCAGCAGGGGTGCTTTCATTTATAATTTGAAATAATAGGAGTACAAAGATAACTCTGTCATCTCTTTTTCCTCTCTTTTCTCTCTTCCTTTCGTTTCTCTTCCCTTCCGAGTCTTTCATAACTCCTCTTTCTTTCCTCTGTATGTTTTCATTTTATAACCAAAGCATTATTGTAGTAACACTATTCACTTTACAAACTTTCCTCAAATGAATAGTGAAAATACTGTGCATGAATAATAATCCATCCGTTTTTCTTCATATGAATAGTAATCCATCTAATTTTTCTTTGGATGAACAGTAACAACTATTCATGTGGGCCATCCACATATTATATTACAACACATTTTCATTTTTTGAGTTTATTTCCGCAAAACAGTTTATGAAACGTATTTTTCACTTATTTTTGCAAAACATTAACAAAGACACCTTTATTCATTCTAATTTTGGTTCTTCATTTCCACTCTAGAGAAATGAATCAGTCAACAGCCCACTACAAGACCACCAAATTTTGGGCCGGTCCATCAGCCCTCTGTAAGACCGGCCCGGTCTAAATCAAAGCAAATCAAAATCTAATTAAAATCCAGGACAGAATGGATTGCTTGCTGCAGTTGTTAACGTTTATAGAAACAGCTTTCGTTTTTTCAGTTGAGACTTTGACAGACCATCCACCGCCACCTGGGGCGCCAATCAACCACGCGGTCCGATGACCCGATTTCCGATGATGGCGTCGTTTTCGTTCTCCTTGTCCTTCTTCTTCACGATGATGATGTGGACGCCGCTCTCTTATGGCTTTGTCAATCCGCGAACACTTCTTCAGCTGGAGAGCTCGTCGGGAAGCGGCGGCGGAAGGTTATTGACGAAGGAGGAGCTGTGGTTCGATCAGACTCTTGACCACTTCTCGCCGTACGACCGCCGCAAATTCCCGCAGCGCTACTACGAATTTCTCGATTACTTTAGACCTTCCGACGGACCAATTTTCCTCAAAATTTGCGGAGAATCCGCATGCGGCGGCATCGCCAACGATTACCTGAGTGTAAGTTCTGATTTTTTCTGAATTTTTAGGTGTAAAATTTGTAATTTTAGAAGAAAAATCGGAAAATTTAGAAATTTTATTGAATTCCCTATTTGCAGGTGTTGGCTAAGAAGTTTGGGGCAGCTATCGTTGCGCCCGAGCATCGATACTACGGAAAAAGCTCTCCTTTCAAGACGCATACAACGCAGAATTTGAAGTACTTGTCATCCAAGCAAGCGCTTTTCGATCTGGCGGCTTTTCGCGAGTTTTATCAGGCAAGAAATTGTTGAATTTGCTGCCTGGAATTAGATATTTTACCCAATTGAGCTTGTAATTTACTGGATTTTGTGGTGTGGTTGTGTTAGAATGGGTTAAATGTGAAGCTGAATAGAACCAAGGGTGACAATCCGTGGTTCGTGATTGGTATTTCTTACCCGGGAGCTCTTAGTGCGTGGTTTCGGGTTAAGTTCCCGCATTTGACATGTGGAAGTCTTGCAAGTTCTGCAGTTGTTGAAGCTATTTATAACTTCACTGAATTTGACCAGCAGGTGATCACTCGGTTAATTTGGCCTTTTCGCTTCGCCCTTTTAGGACGAGAATGAGATTGTAGTTTTGGTCTCTACTTTCGGCCCTTTTTTGCATAACTACAATCCTCTCCAAATGCAGATTGGTGAGTCTGCAGGTCCAGAATGTAAAGCTGCACTTCAAGAAACTACTCATCTTGTTGAACAAAGTCTCACAACTAATGGAAAAGCAATAAGGGCGTTGTTTGGTGCAAGCCAGGTTGGAATTTTCACACTTTGCACTCACCATTTGTAAATCATGCTGTAATTTAATAGCCCGAGTCCAGTTTCTCAGTGGTGGGATTTTCTTTTTTCTTTTCTGACTTGCATATTGACCTTAAGTCTGTGTGCAGCTTGATATTGATGGCGACTTCATGTATTTTCTGGCGGATGCTGCTGTTATAGCGGTAAGTGTTACTTCTTTCTGAGTTTTGTCACTCCGTTTTCAGTTTATCAAATTACTGATGATTATTTGTTTGACATTTTGCAGTTTCAATATGGAAATCCTGATAAATTATGCTCACCTCTTGTTCAAGCAAAGACTAATGGAGAGGATTTGGTGGTATGTTTCTCTTCTTTTCATTCCCCTTCGTTCTTTAATTGAAGCATGAAGCAATCTTGGTCCACAGTTGAGTTATACAATTATCCTCAGCTACTAGATTGTTTTTTGGTCAACGTGTTTACAGTAGTTGTAGTCTACCTGGCAGCGTCTAAATAAATTACCCGTTATGCACCTATCTCTATGCGTTTTAACTTGTAAGGAGTGCCACCAATTCTGTCCTTGGGCTTTTATGCTTCATGAAAATGCCTTTGTTAATTTTCTCTGGGTGTCTAATGTTTCTAATGGGAAAAATAATCTTCTTGCAGGAAGCGTATGCCAAATACATTAAAGATTATTACCTTGGAACTTTTGGCATTGACGTTGATACATATAACCAGAAACACTTGAAGGACACTGCTGTTACTGAGGGCAGTTCTGATCGATTGTGGTGGTTCCAAGTTTGTACTGAAGTTGCATATTTTCAGGTGGCTCCTGCAAATGATAGCATCAGGTCTTCAAAAGTTGACACAAAGTATGATTCCGAAAATGTCTTTTTATTATACTATTTTGTTTATTATTTCTACTTACCCTTTTCCTACAGACCTGTAGTTCAACTTTATAGCTCTTGTATGCGTCTCTGATTCGTAGTTTTTCATTGTCACAGATACCATGAAGACCTTTGCAAAAATGTTTTTGGAGATGGCATCTATCCTGACGTTCTTGCAACAAACTTATACTATGGAGGCACAAAAATTGCAGGTAAAAATATCAATCTCTCTTTCCCTATTTATATGTAAATATCTTCCCCGGTTATTATATATTACAATTTAAGTAGCATAATTTCTATCTGCTGTTTCATACTGGCTCGTAACCTTACCCCACCTATCCCCGGAGACTGCCTACCAACTGAGAGCATTTGTTTTACTACCAGTTATGGCATCATTTATCCGTTTTCCATGTTTTTTCTACAATAAACCTCATCGATGTATCAATAATTGGTTTACTGATCTTATGAAAAATGAATCTGCAGGTTCAAAAATAGTTTTTACAAATGGTTCACAGGACCCCTGGCGTCATGCATCTAAACAAACTTCATCTCCAGATAGTGAGTATTACATTGCTTCAATGAAAAGTTTCATTACTGATATCCTACGAATTGATGCGAAAATATTCGAACTGTGTTAGATCTTTCTGAATTCTCGTTTTTTGTATAAACTATCAGTGCCTTCGTACATCATCTCTTGCCATAACTGTGGCCATGGAACGGATTTGAGAGGATGCCCTCAGTCTCCTTTAACCCTTGAAGGTATGTATTGTTAGTGTAACCGTGCAACCTCAGTGACACATACTAGCTTCTGAGGAAAAGCTTCCTAATTTTAGCGGCCATTGGAAGTTTTCCATGTTTGTAAAGGGCTTTAATTGTGTCAATCAAATTAGTTGGATACCTTGAATCCGAACAAGATTTTCATGGAAGGCAGTGCTTGTTGATAAGTTTTTAATGCTTGCTATCGTATTTAATTAGGATTTATCACTTTGGTTTCAGGCAATTCCCAGAACTGCAGCAACCCTGATGCAGTCAACAAAGTAAGGCAACAGATTGTTGAACACATCGACTTGTGGCTATCTGAATGTCAAGAAGCCGGTAGGAGTTACATGTAATATATTTTTCTGACGTGGGAACTACTTGTATAGCCAATCTTAATCTGACTTTGTGCCTTCTCGTGATGTTTGGTTATGAATCTATGACGGATATCCCCGTATGTACACAGATCGTATTTGTTGGTATATTGTTGTTCCTCTTCTTTCCTTGTGTACATATCAGGACAATCCATTGAAAAATAACAAGCGCGTGTGCGCATTTTAGAACCGCTTTGGTAATCCGTTGTATGATCTTGTGATGATTGTTTCATGTTGTTAAGTTTCTTTTCCAACAAAAGAGCGAATGTGCGACATTTTATTTTACACATTCAATGATTCATCGTGTGCATTTTTGCCCATTTTTGGCCTCTTTGTCCTCCTTTTTATTGTCTTCGTCCATTTTTTGGCCTCTTTGCTTGTTGAATTTCAGTATCATCAGCCCCTTCCTCCTCCTTTTTATTGTTCTCGGCCTTCTCACGTTTGAGGAAATTGACGAGCCCATGAAGAGCGACATCAGCATCGTCCCTCTTCATGAGCTCCTCAGCAACCTCAGCAGGGCTGACCTCTTCGTCCTCTATCAGCCCTTCAATTTCTCCGCACAGGCGGTGGTCGTTTTTGCCACGAATGCCAAGGTAGTTCGAGACTAAGATGTTGAACCCGGTTGGATAGTTCGAGGCTAAGATGCTGAACCCAGTTGGAGTGCAGTATTCAACCCGGACGCAACAACGCCGGGTCAAGACGGTCATTGTGGTTGGTTGTGAAAATTATAATCCTCTCATCGCCACGGCTCGATCACAGACCGTCTATGAAGTTCAGTAGCCCTGAGAGGGTCAACTGCGAGAATCATAAAACTTATGTCAATTTACCTTCATTGTACCAATTAACACCGAAAACAATTAGAACAGTACGACATATGTTATCACGTCATGCAAATCTAATTATGGTCAAATTAATTAGAACAGCATGCGTCCTTTTTTTTTGCACCCAAATTTGAACTCTTCTCCAAATAATTTAGATTAAATTAGGATGCCACCTAAATAAAAAGAGAAAACACATGGTTCTATAAAATGATTGATTATTATAATTAACAAAAATAAGGAAACAAAAGGTCAATTACTTAAACCGATCTTAACTTTCATCTAATTTCTCCAAATGACAGAAAACAAATCTCTTGTACAATTTGCCAGAATTATCAGCACCGTAACTATAGCGGAAAAGTCGGCGCATGAGCTAAATCTCCGAGAAAATCTGCGGTTTCCAACTCCAACAAAATTGAGGTGTGTCGTTACGTTAGAACAGAAACTACTTGAGATAGGTTGACGAGACCCAGAGTAGCACATAGGTTATCAATGACGTTGTCACCTCGAAACTCCTTGGTCCTTTCAGCAGAGGTGGAACCACAGACACCATCAAGAAGGTTCCCAAGAGCCATGAGAAAGCAAATGATCCAGCACTGCACCAAAGCAAACAATTTATCCAAACCTTTTCGCCGTTGCCAAATTTAAAGTTATAATATGGTGAGTTAAGATACGGAGTTCAAATTTGGAGTGAAGGAAGAGCATGTTGTAATTTTCGGTTCAATTATTCAAAAATAAGGAAGATAAGGAAGTATAATAAAGAATAAATTTCAATAGAGAACAAATGAGTTGATCTATATGGACAAATCAATAGAGAAATACAGTAATTATACAGAAACTATTTACGTACCTGTAGAGGAAAGCTCGTAATTTGCTCTTCAGCCTGTCATGTACAAAGTAGATGGTAGCCAACAAGGAAAGGGCAACCTGAAGGGTTGGACCTTCTTCGGTTGGAAATAGAACAGTGAGAGCTGCAAGCACTAGAAATGCAATGGACGTTTTTATAATGAAATTTGTGGACGGAGTTCGGAACCTATTTCTCACAGCCTGAACAACACGGGACTGATTGACTTCCCTGTACTTTTTCTTAAAGTCAATTTTTGGGTTCTTCCTGTCATAGAACTTCTGCATGATTATTTTGTCATGGGCTGATTCAATTGCATCTACACTTGGTTTGTGACCTGCATACTGTCGGATAAGGAAGTTCCTTGCACCTTGAATCTCATCTTCCGAAGCCTCCCTGCTTATTCCAAGTCGCTTGTAGGGGTCCCTCACATTAATCCTAGGAAATATAGCTTTACTTGCAAAGGCAGTGAAGAAGACAACAGATCAGAGAGATAAAGATGCTGATTCGTTACAATATCTAATAAAAACGAATCAGGTCAATGGTAATTTATCAAATTAACAGTTACAGGGCTGAACGAAATACGTCTAACCTAACCAAGCTACCGATGTCAAGACTCCTACAAATGCACCTAAATGTTTTGGTTCGAATTGGTTACGAAGTTTAGACACGTCAAAGGCCGCAATCAAATACACCAGCAGAAGGGTTGTTGAGAATCCTTCGTGTTAAGTTCTACATTCCAATTTTCTTCATACCGTTTTGTGCAATAAGGACCAGTGTGTTCAAGCTTGAAGGAAGTTATACACAAGCACTCATACATATACAACAACATCCAAAGTAAATGAAAATATAACTGCTCTCAGAAAAATAAGATGAAAATTACCTGCTGGTTCATTGGACATATCGTCGAAGGATGCATCCATGGCAAACTTGATCAGATGTGTTTTCCGTGCGTTCAACCTTTGAGCAAAACCAGTCCAATAACTTCTGCTTGATTTTAAAAGAAAACAAATAAGCAAACCGAGAAGGTAACCACACTACGTGAAACTAATAACTGATACTGCCCTAGCTGTACCTTTCCACACGAAGTAGATCATTCTTTCCTGCAGGCTTCCAACTATAAGGGAAATTCGAAACTTGCCCTCGTAGTGAACCAGAACTTCGTGCTGGAATTTGGAAGCAGAATCTGGAGGGACTACCAGTCAATCCCGATACAGCAGTCATCTTCGCAGCACCCTCTGTCGAAACAAACAAACAGAATCAAACACACTGCATGAAGGGAAAAAATGGTTCATTTCTGGATAACCACTGAATCATTTAAACTGACAATTTTATGGTGATATTCCGGAACACAAACCCAACAAGGCAATGGCAGGAAAATGCAATTGAATACCAATTAGCTGCCCAAATTCCAGTTTTCTTTACTTGTGATGGTTTTACCTGGAACTGAAATTTGCAGTAAATTCGAGAGAAGCTGACTTCTGGGTTTTGACCAATTGCAAAGTTAATCAATCCCTTATGTTTTTATGAAGTGAATGGAATTCACAGACTGCGATAGTTCTGAGCCGGCAAAGAAACTTACAGCAGAAAAAAGGGTGAAAATTTTTGAGAACAAATTGGTAAACCTGGTGGCGGATGGTGGAAGATAAAGGGGCTGAAGACGGCGGTGTTGACTGGGTTTTGCGGAGGACCGTGGCGGCAGCAACAGCGGCGTCGTCGTCTACAGCGGATAGGAGAGAGACAGAGAGAAGAGAAGGCCAAAAACGCTAAAACCCTCCTAATCCTTCCTCGCTGCCGAAAACCAAGGAAGGTGCTAGTCCCTGCTGCCTACTGTCTTTTGGCTTGTTGTATACAAGTACCTGCATTTATAAATCAGTAAATAGTATTAGAGAACATCAGATCCGTTGTAGTCTAGTTGGTCAGGATATTCGGCTCTCACCCGAAAGACCCGGGTTCAAGTCCCGGCAACGGAATGTGACTTTTTTTTTTTTTTTTTTAACCACTTTTTTCTTCTTTTATTTTTGACCTTTTTTACCTAATGAAATGAACAGTCATTTTCCTATTGCAAAAGAAACTGAGTCTCTTCTCATCATTTCTAACTTGCTATTAGCAAAAGATCGAGACTCGTTCGCAACCACTAATGACAAAGAGATCCAGAAAGTGAAGGATTAGTAATCATTTTTCGACATTTAGACTTTGAATAGATTCTGTTTATACATATGCGAGGAAGATACTCAAAGAAAAAAAAAGACGAGTTTTTCTTTCTTTTATCACTCAGGAACCATCGTGCGAGGTGAAAGTCTCATGCACAGTTTTGAATGAGAAAAAGAAATGAGAATCCACCTTTAAAAATAGCAGTTTCAGCTTCGAACACTCAAATTTTTGTATAATCTGCGCACGGGAAAGTTCAGTTGATTCAAAACAATCGCAATTTTATCTACATTGGTTTTCTGGAGAGCATCAAGTAGCTGTAACCCTTAAAAGAGTTCATTTGCGAAGGGATTCGCCATTCGCCACGCGAAGAAAACGAACTTCTCAATCACTACAATGTACATAGGCACCTGTAAATGAAATCCTTCATACTCTCTTTTCATTGTGTACAAACTGATATTGTCATCCCAAATGATACAAGGCTGATTCAGCTACGAGAAATCTATAAATGTCGATCGAGTGTGAACATTGTCATACAATCTGGGAACGGATAATGCATCAGGGGCTTACAGAACAAACTTCCATTTGAAAAGTGACAGAGAAGATGCAGAGTATTTACGTGTTTTTACCGTACAAATTATTCTGTACAAACTTAATCTATACAACTGTACACTTATAGATCCCGGCCATGCTGACAGCCGCTTTCACCGACTTTATGAATCCAAACGGCTTTCCCCATTAAGTTCCATCATCCAACTGCGGCAAAAAAAATCAAAACACTGAACCACGAGATGCATTTCTACGACGGACGGAAAAAATTTAACAAGCCTTGTTTATGGTCATCTCATAGATGGGATAAAACAATGCATTTGTTTGCCAATGAGCAAGGGAACATGATACTACTAATAGGAGTACCTGTTTGCAACATAATCACAACGACTGGAAAAGGGTCACAGTTGCAATGTAACCATTCTTCATCACCTGTTGGTAATCAACATAATACTTATTAGCAATCCCGTGCACAACCATAGAAAACATAAGCAACGATGAATTAGCAATCATCATCTCACCTCAAATGCAGCATTTTGATAACCATATACAAAAGTAGATCCAAACGGATTGCTTGTAGAACCTTGAGTCTGGATAGCAGCTCGGCCAGAGTCCCCAAGGATTTCCTACAAAAGTAATCTTTTGTTACTACCATGACCCCAATCATGATCAAGATACACCGGAAGGAATACACTGATGACAGAAGCTATCAATGAGAAAGTCGTTACTGATGGAAAACAATGAAACAAAGTACAAATATAACAGTTTAAAAAAAACGACGGCCAAGAGAAAGTTTACCTTCACTTGCTCCCACTTTGTGCTAGGTGTAATCCTATGTTTGCCGTTATTTACATCCTGATAAGACCCCCCTACTGCAAGGGATGATTAATGTGTTTATCAGGTTTCTAAGTCAATAAATCCAACTCGAAACTTCAGAAGAATCAGCGGGGGACTTACAGTCAGATGCAAAGATGGCAAAATTGCACTTTATGTAAGAGTTGAAATCTGCATGACCAGGATAATTTGTATGCAAAACAAACTTCTTGATTTTGTGAGTCTGGAGGCAAACAAAAAGAAAAGTGATCTGAGAACTTCCAAGCATAAATATTACCATGCAAAACATTTTGAATGTATTTTTAACCAGAAAATAAGTTAATACCTGGCCATCAAATAAAATATCCAAACCACGGGTAAAGTAATTGTAGAAGTAATCACCACAGAAAGTTGTCCGTGGACGAGGGTCCAAGCCAGAATGAATGACCATTTGGTCTACCTACAAAGCACAGAGAATCAACAATCACCAACAAGAAGACAAATGCATTTAGAAAACATTCTACATAGGCATAACAGTGGGAGTTACCTGCTTCTGATGTATCCCACACGGACGACCCAATTCGGTCCAAACATCCTGTAAAAAAGAGAAGAAAAAACATGAATTACACAGGATGAACAACGAAAGGAATGGCAGCATTAGCCAGCCAAATAGAAAGACTAACTAGAGCTTAAACAAAGCAAAATCAAAACTTGCCTGAGGTGATGCACCAAAAGGAATATTCTGGCCACCAACATTGAAGTACAATTCTTCCCCTAGCTGGATAAAATAAAAACTGAATTGAATTACATGGAAGAACAACAATCACCTGTGTCGAACTGCTCACTGGGGCAATAGTAAACCACAAATGAAGGAAGCTGCAAAGCAAAAGCATTTGATTCTTCTCCAAATCATGGTTTAAAATCTCCATGATACCCCTCATGCTCATAGAAGAAAATAAACCATGGTTTAACTGAAATTATGCCTGGAAGATGGAGAAAAAAGTCAAACCTTAACGTGCACCTCTTCCATATACAGGCTGCCAACAGGTAATGGAGGAGCAGATGCCTTATCCATTAGGGACCCCACACCAACTTTTTTATCTGTCGAACTATCATATATAGAGACACGGCATGTAACTGGTGTGGTTCCATCTGGAAACTCCAATGGCAATTCCGCTTTCATAAACAAAAGAAAATAAAAATTCAAGTAATTAGAGCTTGCAAAATTTTTGAAGCAAGAAGCAATTGAGTAAACACTGTCAGTAAAATACCTTCTCTGTTATGGCAGCAGTCTGTATACTGACTAGGAATTGGAAAAGCAAAAGAAAGCCCCTACAGTAGCCGTGGTTGGTAGACACACAAAACAGATTCCAGCTTGTAAGATGATTCATAAGTAGATAAAAATAAAGAAATATGAAAGTCAAGTTAAATTTACATACTGGGTAAAACAGAGTGTAGACACCTCTATCCTTGTCATAAATTCCAGGGAAAGTTGGCCCAAATAGTGCATATACAGCTACAAAAGTCGCTAATGTGGATGGTCCCCTGAAAGTAGAGACGAAATTCAATAGTATGCCTCATTGTATATAATAGAAAGCCTCAAGTAAAGTAACTCACCCAATCAAAGAAGCAGCATAGCGCATTTGAAGCCGTTTTATATCAAATATTTCAACAAGACGTAGCCTCTGCACCAAAATTTCAAATCAGCAAGCCATATCATATCAGGAGGTAGTTGTAGATATTACAACCCAATAGTAATAGCAATCCATGTACAAATTCACCTGCCATTTTAAATAAAATAGACATATACGAATCAAACGCATAGCCATATTAACCCGCTAAAGAGAAAAACAGCTGAAGAGGATGGCTATCTGCCAGTGTTTCATGGACTACCCATGGTGTACCGCTCTAACATCCCACAGACATTTTCTTATTTTGTACGACAACCAATTAAGGTAACTTTTAACACACGGTATTAGCTACTACAACCATTAAAATAAAAGAATCCGGTCAAGTATTTGTGGATTTTCTTTAAATAGTAACAATTTTAATTGATGAGTAAATACCACATGCCACAGTACATGGCCATTAGTTAATAGCTGCATCACCCTCGGGTCATATATTTATGAGGAATCAAAGTAAACAAAAGATCGCCACATATGTAAAACAAATTTTTGATACGCAAAGAAAAAGGCACGAGCACGAAAGAGAACAAATCAGACGTATGCAAAAACGAACCTGTGACCAAGGATCAAAACGAAGATGAAAACCATGGTCTGGAAAGCTGATAACAATATCCAACTTCAGGGGCTCCTGCATGGGAGAAGAACAGTGATAAGCAGTCATTACAACTTATCGGTATTTCAGTACATAAACTTTATGAATCACTGAGCTATTTGTTTCATCCCACGAAACATGCGCATACGCCTAATACTGGGGAAAAAAATATGAAACCCTACAAAATGTGCTTCTACAATAGATTAAACAGGCCATAATGATACACAACTTGGCAAACTGATCCAACCTCGTCGTAATACTTCACGTGGACGACGTCGTAAATGTTAGGCTCCTGCTCTATCTGAGCAAATGCTTCGCATATTGGCATTCCTGAAACAAACATTTCAATCCATGATTCAATTCCAAAAATAATCCGAGCTGCGGTTCTAACACCAGTGAATTTATTCCAAAAACCAACACGTGCAAAATCAATTGTTCATATCCAATCTCTACACCATCAACTACTTGACTCTAAAAATACCAAAAAAAAAGGACAACTCAAATTTAACCAAGATATAACCACACAGATATCAAACAGCTGAGACAACTCACAAATATGGTAGAATTAATTTACAGAAATGAAACGCTCGCAAATAATTCAATTCAAATTTCAATTTCCACAAGCAATTCTTGCTCTTAGGTTGGATAAATGAACGAATTTCGAATTAATAATTTGATCGGCAAGGAAAATTCAGAAATTAAATGCCGATTACCAACGGTGAAGGGTCCGATTCCGAGGCCGGGTCGGAGATCGAGGACGATGGCGCCCATGGCGGTGCCTTCGCAGCGGCGTCGAGGCCTCTGCAACATAATTACTAGTTCGAGAAGATGACGTGATTTGGCGACGATGACGATGGACTCCGTTACTTTCGCGAAAGTAACTGTACAGGTGTTGAATGCTTAAATAGGAAAAAAAACGCTTCGCTGTGAATTTTGCTTTGCCTCGCTGCGCACGAAATGTCCAAGCGTGTCGTTTATTTTTTTCTTCTTTTTCGTTCATAATAATTTTTTTATTTTTTTATTTTTTTGGGACAAAGCTGAGCAACATTTCTTACAAACAAAAAACACAAACTTTACAAACCGAAAAAAACAAACACAAACCAAAAGCCCAAAGCTAGCATATGAACAAGAAAAAAAATAGGCCAAAGAAAAACAGACAAAAGCACAGCTCAAGCAACAGTTTGAGCCAAGAACAAAAAAAACAATATGAGAAATCGACTGCAGCCACCGCTACAACATTCCATTCCAACACGATCCATGTAATTCCACTCCTCCAACCTCACGTCAGCTTGCCGATCGTAACATCCAACTCCAAGCACCACCAGGTACGCAACCTCAATTGAAAAAATCCAACAACCAAATAAAGAAATCCAGCTACCAGAAGAAAGAAGCTTGTAAGAACCCACGGGCAACACTGTTGGTAAAGGCATACAGAGATGAGAAAGGGGTTGTATTGGAAACACCCGAGCCTATGCAAGCACCGAAGCTCTACACACCATCTCATTAAAGTAGGACTGTAGATAGGAGTAAGGATGAACGAGGAAGAGGACGTAGGCTGGATGAGAAGAAAAGGGCAAATAAAAAAAGAGAGCAGGGGGAACACACAGTTGAAGGAAGGAAAAGAAGACAACGAAAGGAAGGAGAGAACGACTAACCAACCCCAGACGAAGATAGGGTTGGCACCATCATATATGTGCAAATTTGTGCTTTTTGTTAGGATAATTGGGGATTTTATATTTTTCAAAATTGCATACTATGAATTGGGGAATAGATATTGATTTTTATTTTGTGACAATTGAAATTCAAAATTTCATACTTAGGACCTCATGTGCAATTTATCCTAGCCATTTAAGCTACGAGCTATTTACCAATTTCAATTTTTTTAAAGTTTTTATTTCGTTATGATAAGAAAAAAAGTTCAAACTTGGAACATTTCTAACATTAAAAGAGAAAATAAAGAGAATTGGAATTTTAAGTTTAAATTAGTGATTTAATCCTCGAGACAACCTATTAAGTCATGTCCAACCTAGGGTAAAAGAGCGGTTGATTTTTTTTTTCTTTTTTTCTTTTTGAGCATAGCTATACATTTACACTAAGAGAAGAGGGAAGTTTGGCTAACCTACATAATAGACAACCTAATTTGGTATCGAATTCGCCATCTACGAGATTTGAACCTAAGACCTCTCATTTATAAGCAGAGAGAAATACCACCAGACCGTAGTATTGAATGACAAGAGCAGTTGGCTTTTAAGTGGTCAATTTAGCCTCGAGTCAAGCCCGACCAATGACGAGGACTGGACAAAAAAATAAAAAAAAGGAACTTTAACGAAAAGCTCACAGTACTATTCACTTTAACGAAAAATCACATTTTTACACTAAAAAGTCAATCTTGGTATTATTCACTTTATCTTTTATTTTATCTATATCGTTAAAATTCAAAGTTTTTAAATTATTTTCTTTAATTTTTTTTTTTTTTTAATAAGGAACCGATGACAGTATGTATCGACAATCCAAGGTACATGGAAAACTTGTTCGACTGTCTAAAATAGCTTAATGATTGGCTTATTTTTAATAGATCAACGGCTACCTTTCGGCGACCTTATAAAACCGATTCCAATATGTACGTAATCGTTCAATAAACACAAGCCACGTCAAAAAACTTGTTCTGACAATGTAAACAACAGTAGGTTGGCTTCAATAAAAAACTATACGAGGTTTTTGTTTTTGGTTTTTTTTTTTTTTAAAATTTTTAATATTTTTTTTATAAATATTGAAGGTATTTTAACATCATCTGTATGTGAGGCCTCAATAAAAAACAGTAAAATTTGGACATATGAAATTACATTATCGTCTATTATTTTTTTATGTGATAGAAGACTAAATAGTATTTTCATCCTATTTTGGTTGACAAATAGAGTTTCATTAATTAATAGAGATAAATGCTTAACGACTACCTTTTAAAACCGCAATGGTTAAACTAGTTTGGGAAGTAGTAGAAGTTGTCGAAAAAACTTATAATTTCATGAATAATAACGTTTTGTGAGGTCCCTTTTTTTGTTGTTTCACTATCCAAAGAGTGAGTTTATCCCAATATAAAAAATTTATAATATAATTTCAAGTATCTTCCTTTTCCAATTTACAGGATCATGGCAATTACTTGGACCAAACTATCAACTAATAAACAATTTATTGCTCGTTTGATAGTGCTTTTAAAATGATTAAAAATGTTTTTAGTAAAAATATTTTTGAATTAATTCTTTGTAAAAATTTAGGTAGATCATGGAAAAGCATTATAAGCCCTTCTTACAAAAAACACAAATCTAATGCTTCTTTCAAAAAACAAATATGCTTTTGGAACAAGAAATCAATTTAACAAAAAAATACTTTCAGTTATTTTAAAACTACTTCGGAATACCCTTATGTTTTTGATACATGGAAGTGCGTTGCTTTTCCATTATAGAAAGAGAGAGGCATAGAAAGGAAAAGGATCCTCTCCGGATCCTTTTTGTGAGAATTCGGGAATCAATCAATCATTTTCGTTTATCGTACATCATGCGGTCAGTTTTCATTAGCTACTATTTATTCAAATTTAAATTTTAAATTTTAAATAATTACTGATCGTACGATGTATGTATGATAAACAGACATGATTGATTGATCTTTCGAATTCCCACAAAGAGGATTTAGAGAAGATTCTTTTCCGAATAGAAATAGAGTTTCCCTATATAATAAAATTTGGATCCTCTCCCTCACTCTCTCCAAAAAAAGAATTAAAAAAAAAAAAAAACAAATAAAATTTTCATTAGTGTGTTGGCCGTTTGGGGTTCTGGTTGCAACAAACCGAATCAAAGAGAGAGAGTAGAAATGACCCGAAAACAAACAGGTATGAACGTTGTGTGAAAGTTGGGGTCGTCATGGATTCGTCGATGGCTGCTGGCGAAGGTGTCATCATTCACGATTTTCACCGTTTTCTTTTGTGTTTTGATATCATGGATTCGTTGGTAATGTTAGAAGCTGGTGTTCGCTCTATGAATCTTTCGTCTGTCTGAGTCTGATGATAAAATTTAGGGCTTTTAATTTTCAAGGAACCATAAAACTTTTAGCTTTTTGTTTTCTATTGACAGGAACCCTAATTTTCTCTTTGAATATCAGGGGTAGTGTTAGAAATTTGTGGGTTTCTTTTTCAAATTGGTATCGAATTCGCCACACAATGGGCAACCTAATTTGGAACATGAAATCAATTTAACACAAATCTAAATATTTGAATGGTCATCCTGCATTCTTCTAACTCTAAGTCAAGATTTGTCATTTTTTCTTTGTTTTTCTTGCTACCCTAAATGGTCGTATGCTTTGGTGCTCATTTATGATAAATTTGCTCTGTTGTTCTTGTTCTTTAATTGTATGTCTTGGATTCTTGATTTTACTTCCATGGTGACTTACTACAATGTTCTTTTGCATATTTATAAGTTTGGTAAGAAGTATGAGACTGGAAAAATGAGAATTAAGAGAGAAATTGAAAAACATTAAAATACAGTGCAGGCTTCTAATTGGAATTTTTTAGTCGGGAATAGCCCAAAAACAGGTTTGTTCCCCGATATAAAACCCTTAAGAACGTGTTCATCTTTTATGATTTGTGCTGAAGAGTTCTTTCCCCATTTGATTGATTTTTGACCCTCTGTTGTTTTTCAATTCTCAACAATCACTTCTTCAATTACCAAACCTTTATTGATTCCTTTAAGTTTTTGGTGTTCTGTTTCTTTGTGAAATAGTTCAACATTAATGTTTTCTTGTCATACTTGTGTTTGATGTCGCTAGTTAATTAATTTTTGGGTGGGTTTGTTCGTTTTATTTTTGTTGTGGCCCGTGTGTGGTTTTTTTGGGGTTTTGGGGGGGAGGGGGGGGGGAGCGACACTATAGTTTGGCAATGGCCATGTGCCTTTTTGGGTTGTTCTAAGATTCAGTGATGATTTTTGGATGTTTGATTTTTCAACCAGAATTACTGAGCTTTGGCTCTTTTGCGGTTGGGGTTGTTTTTTAAAAATAATAATAGTAAACAGAAAGTGGGACTTTTATGCTTCTAATTAGTGTTAATTTTTGTATTTTTGTATCCAAATTTTTCCGCTTGATGGTCAAACTATGGAGGTTTTAAAATAACAACCTTTTATTCGGCCGAGTCTAAATATTTCTGTTTTTTTCTTGCTAAAACATAAACGGCGTGTGTAGTCATTTCTCTTTTTTTGTGATAAGATGGTTTTCTGTAAATCAAAAAGTTATTATAACTTTTATAGATGAATGGTTGACTGTGATTATGGTTTATAATGGGAAGAGAGTTTTGTGCCATAATTGTATTTAAAGCTGTTTTTAATCTCTGATTAAGATAAGTTATTATGTTTTGTCATTTGAAATTTGCAGAGAACAGCGGTAGTAGGAGTTTTGAAAATCCTCAAGGTTTGTTGATTTTTTTCCTTCTCTTTTCTGGTTAACAGTTTATGCAATTTTGGTATTTTGTCCTTGTCGAAGGCCCATGTGGTTTCCTATGGTTGATTTTAAAATTTCATTGGTGGAAAGGTTGACAGTAATTATGGTTTATTTTGGAAATTGGTTATGGGGGTTGTAATTGGCACTCCAAAATGGTCATCCTGCATTCCGCTTAACTCTAAGTAAAGATTTGTCATTTTTTCTACACAAGGAGTGCAAGATGAATTTTTGTGGAGAGACCCTTGGCTATTAGTTTAGGTCTTGATTTCTTTCCAATTATCTGTTTTCTTTTTATGTTTTTGGACTAGAATATTTTAAGAACTAATCAAGTATAAGCGAGCAATAGAAATATGTTAGCTGTAAGAATATCACTTAATTAATTATATTCATATATTCACTCCCTAGACATTGGGAGGTGGCTACTGCAGGCGTTGAAGGAGAATGCTACTGCAAGGAGTGCCATTCCTGACTTGGAAGAGAAAAAGTTCGTGGCAATACCCTTGTGTTATAATTTTCTTCATTTGTATCGCTACAATGGGACAAGATTTTCAATGTTTTATTATGTTTGTTATATATGTCCAGAAATTCGTCACATGGAAAGAGGAAAACAGTATGCAAGCCCTTTACAAAGCCCATTTATTTTTTAGACCCATGGAATAATAGGAATTTGGTAAGAGTTTCACTGAATCAATAAGTTTGTGTTTTACGCACTCAGTGTAGACTGTATTCTAATTTGTCTCTCCTTGCAGGTGATTATGGAGAAGGCTCCAGGAATAGTTGATCCTGCCATGAACATTAGGTAGGTTGTTGCCAATTCACTTAAGTATCTTGAATTGTATCTAAACAATGCAATTTTCATTTATGCTTTTGATATATGTTCAGGAATCCAATGAGAAAATTCAAGCACCTTGCTAGCTTAGATGCTGTGAAATTAAGGGAGATGCGTCCAGATTATATACCGGTAACAATCCGAAGCATCAAACATTTTACTAGCAATCCATTTGGTGAATGCACTCTATTCTAATTTGAGTTTCCATGAAGGTGATCATGGAGAAGGATGCAAGGAGTGACGTTCCTGACGTTGACATGAGGAGGTTAGTTGATTTGCATTGATGTAATGAATTAGGATTGTTCCCTTTTCATTTATGCTTTTGATTATTATCCGAAATCTGTCTGGATATAGGAAAGAAAAAAATGAGATATATGTGAAAAAGCCCAACACTTGTTTTGTTCTTATTAATTTGTGTAAGTAATCTATATGGACCCAGAGGTTTTGGTCATGTGTATCGTTAACATTTTACCAAAATAATTGAGTTGGGTACTTTAGTGGAAGTTCGAGGGCTGGTTCTGGTTGTAATGATTTGCCTGGATTGGTTACCCAAGTATGGAAGCCTTCCTACCCAGTAATTTTCATAAGCATATCAGTATATAAGAAAACCTACTTGTTACTACAAAGTACAGACACAAACTCTCAAGATCATTTGTACCCCTAGCTTGGTTTTATCTTTTTCATTTATTTCTTTTTAGATTGTCTAAAATGAGGTGGTCTCACGTGGTTTTATTTTTGATTTTTTTTTTTATTTTTTCTGACTGCAGATGTCATGTCTATGATGGTACCCCTCTTAGGGAATTTGTTCATTTTCTTCGGGGGCACATCCACTCTAAAAAACCTATATTGTCTTAATTTTTATTGCTACATTGGAAGAACATGCTTCAGTTTTCACATACGGCTTTAATATTTTTTCAGAAGGTTGGCAGAGAAAAGAAGGAAAAGAGCCTACGTGGACATAATGAGAAATGCGTTTGTGTATTTAGAACCTTGGAATTTGAGATCATACAAGATGGTAGGAACATCTCTCTTCATTATATTTACGTCATAATTATCATATTTACTTCCAAAGCTTTCAGTGGATACATTGTTCTAATTTGGGCCTCCATGCATGTGATTGCGGGAGAAGGCTTTGTCTTCCACTCCTAGCATGAGCGAGAACACGAGGAAGTCAGTTGCAAGTTCTCTCTTTTGCTTTAATTGTCTTGATTTGTATGCTATTTATGGATATAAGATTGCTATTTATTTGTTTAATTTTTGTTTTCATTTATGGTTTTGATGTACGTTCAGGTTCTATTTAGAGAGGTACAAGCAGTTATATGGTAATCTTTCAGAAGAACAACGCACTTGCACGGACGCTAGACAGTTGAGGGAGAAGCGTGCAGATTATATACCAGTAAGACTTTCTCTGCATAAAATGTGTTTACGTCCTATGCACTTGGTGGATGTACTCTGTTTTAATTTGATGAGATTCACACGCAGGTGAGTGTGGAGAAGGATCCAAGGGCAGACAGTGACGTTCCTGACATTGATGTAAAAAAGTGTGTTTGCAATTCCCTTTTGCTTTAATTATTTTGATGTGTATTGCTATAGTTGAATGGGATTGTTCATGGTGTTGTTGAGACGTGGAAGTGCCTTGGTCCTTGTTCATTGTATGAAATAAAGTTCAATGCTTGTTACTGTCGCCATGGTTATATAATTACAAGTTACAACGTGCATGAATTGGTTACCAAGTAGCGAAAGATTCCACCAAGTAGTGTTCATAGTCCATATTAGCTATAAGATCTGCCGTCCAAGTGCCTTTCTTGTCATAGCTTCGTTTTAAACGAAAAGGGTTCTCAATTTGTTCGGTTTGCTTACTATTTCTTGTCGTTGCAGATACCATGTCCCCCGTCAGAAAACTCTTGGAGAATTTGTTGATTTGATTCAGATGGATATTGCGGTCAGTAAAACATTCCATGTGCGTGTCTTCTGCAAGAACACTGAACTTCCTGCCGGTGAGTGAGTTTGTAACTCGCTTTTATTTTTGGCATATTGTCTTTGTTCCAGAGTTGTGGAGGTTATAATTCTTTGAATGAATATCACAGGTGCCTCGATGTCTGCAATTGACGACGAATTTAAAGATGGAGATGGATTTCTTCGGTTGACGTATATCGGAGAAGAGAGAGCATGTCAATCTGCCAGTTAACTGTTTTAGGGAAGGATTTGGCAGTTAGTTTGTTTTTGTGAATGGTGATTTATGTGACCATCTGATTGGGCATGTTTGTTTGTTTGTTTTCTTCACTATCTAATTGGGCTCAACGGCCTCTCGCGATGTCAAACTCGTCATTCATAAGAGTATAATTTCGTACCTAACACTTGTGAGAGAAAGGAGAGCTTATAATAAAAATAATACTCTACTAAATTACCGGAGTAATTAGAATCCCTTGTAGTTTTTCTAACTTGTTTAGACTTGACATTTGTTTTTTGTACAAAACTTGATTAAGATGCTTTGACCACTTCACAATTCAATAATTATTTCTTTATTTAATATATATCCACTTAAATTAGCTAACAACTAATTTCCAATTCTAGAAATTCTAAATTCTCTAGAATTGTAAATTAGTGGCTTATTTGTTACTCAGTATTACAGTCTGATGATATTTATTTTTACTTGTAAGTGAAATGACTTAGATTAAAACTCGTGGATGACGAATTCGATATCAAATTAAGTCGTTCATTGTGTAGCCTAACCGAACTCCTCCCTCCTTTTAGTGTAAAATATATCACTATACTAAAAAAATTTGTGGCTTATTTTTGTCATTATCTTTAATTGGTCACTTTCTTCATTAAAAAAAGTTTATAAGAAACTTCATTAATCTATTTAAATTTGACGTATAGTTATATAAAAAAAATGGTATTTAAAACTTATGGGTACATTTGAAAATAAACGTACCAACTTTTAGTACGTTTCCGTGAAACAAAATGTATCAGAAATTCAAATGTGCCATAAAATCGAAAGCACCCATATTATAGGTTATCAAACATACCAATACAATCAAACATACCTTTAATTAAATTATAGAAAAAAATGTTTAATTAAGTTCTTAAAAGAAACAGATGCTTAATCAACAAAATTGTAAAATGGGGCGCCTATTTCAAAACGTCCCACCCGATTAAACAAATTCGTAAGCTCCACATTATCCATGATTGTTAGTTATTAATTAAACCAATTTAACCAAAAAAAAAGAGAAAGAAAAAGAAGATACATTTGTCTTGTTACATTATCCTTGACAATCAAAGCATAGCACGTAATAGAATAGATTCTTGCAGCCCATATTTTTCTTTTTGCACACACTTATTTATTACTATCCGTTGATTCTCATTCGATCCAAAGGCCATAAATAAACAAGGTCTGCATTAAAAAAAAAAAAAAGAGGGTAAAAACAACTTCCCAAATGTTATTTGCACCCAAAAGTTGACAGAAACCCCCAAAAGTTGAAAGAAAATGGCGGAATCGAAGCAGGAGGAGCAAGCGCCTTCTTACAAGAAGCAGGTATGGCTTTTACCCAAGTTTGTCGTCAAAAGCTTAGTCCATTACTGCTTAGTGGGAGTAATTTGGTTAAAGACCACGATGAAATTGCAAATAAAAGAAGCGTCTTTCAATATTTTGGGTATTTCTCTTTGTCGTCGTCAATAGCTAGTTTCTTGCTGAACGGGGAATTACAGAGCGTCAAGTTTGGAGTTCCGTTTACAATTTCTCTTTGCTAAATGAACTTCTGGACTATAACAAGCAGTCATGGTACCCATTTTGTTAAATCAGGCGGGATATCTTGGCACTTTTCAGTTTTTAAATCTTGCCCATTTTATCTTTCTTTGTGCGTATCTTGTTTTGTTTTCAATCCCATTATTCCCCCTTTGAATCTCAGATGGAGATGGAGAGGATATCTGAGATATTCAAGATCTTAAGATTATTGTTAGTTAATTGATATATTTCTCAATTTGCAGCTGATGGTGTCTTCAGCTGCAGCCCTTGGTGGTGCAGCTGCCGCGGTGGATATGGATGCTGGTTTGGCAGAGGATGCTGATGCAGACCTTGGTGGTGATGAAGGCGTTGTCATAGACAATGATGACGACGGATCGGAAGCAGACGATGAAGTTGAAGGTGACGTTGGAGACGGCAACAATGACGATGATGGCGGTGGACACGTACAAATCCGAAGGATCACGTACGATTTGGACGTTCCTGTGTCTCGCGTTGATCCACTCGGACAGCCTAATGCTGGTGCATTGCACCAGCTTGTGCTTAATGAGTTGTCCCTCCACCCGCTTCCCGGCATTGATGTCCCTGATGGAGGATATGGTGTCACGTACGTTCTCCAAGCCGGCAATGAACAACAAAGAATGGATCTCCAAGGCTTGCAGAATGTTCAAAATCCTCCCTGGATCAACCTGGCCGGATTTATAGTCTCTGTTGAAGCTAGAGACTTGTTTCTCCCCAAATTCATACCAGTTTCCATGCTTACCCCAAATGGAGATGCACTGCCCATGGGAACATTTGACATCCGTGGTTGCGAGGATGAAGTTGATTTGATGTTAGATGTGGCTCAATTGGTGAATCCCGTTGTTATAGACAACACAGAATATAGGGTTAATTTGCCAAATTATCCAGATTCCATTCTAAATCATGGCGATATTGGTGAAGCATATTGGCCCCTTGTAGTCCAAGGGCTGTTGAGAGTTGTGGTCTTCTTGCCGGTTAACGACGACCACGATGACCCTCCCTCCGATGAGAGCGTAGTTGAGGACTAAGCATTAGGGATTAAAGATTACAAAAGATGTTAAGACTTTCAAGTTTGTAATGATGGATGATATAATAGGATACTGTTTGAGTTCAATGCTTGTAGCTTTTGTTCTTTGAGTTTAAATTTTGTAGTGCGCATCTTATTTGAGAAGTGCCAAGGAGAGGCTCTCAAAGTGAGACTCTTCACGAGAGACTTTTGAGACTTTCAAATACGATTACACAAGCCATTATCTTTGCTAAGTGCCATTACTTCTACTTGAACCTAAACTCCGACGTCAAATAAGAACTTGAAATGAAGGAAATTACCAAATTCCTACCGTCATGCAATGATTCTCATCTAGAACTCTTTTCAATTATAAGTGCATCAAACTATGACTTTGTTACTACGATAAGCTAGTTACATTCCACTTCGCTTGGAAGTGAGATGATTTAGCTTTGATTCTCGTCTTACAAGAATTCAAAAATAAAAGATGGAATTAAAGCTCCGCTTCTCTAAACACTAGAAATTATGAGCCAAATTAAAATAGAAATAGAGAGTAAAAAGAGATGAGAAAGAAAGAGGGGTAGAAATAGAGTGTTTCCTGAGTAATAAAATTTGAAGTTTTCTCCTCCCTCTCTAAAACGAAGTACTAAAAACAAAAAATAATGCTTTATTAGTGTGATGGCTAAACGTCGCCGTTCGAGGTCCTGGTTGCAACTATTTTTCACTTATGACTTTTTTTATTGGCACTTCGTGTATTGTTAAACACCCCCAAAATATAATATTATATGATTCATATGTCTTAATATACAATGATAATTTTGACCTCATAAGGTTTAACAAATATATATATATAAACACACCCTAAGTCACTTTTAATGTGTATATTTCAATATTATTTATCTTCTTCAACTCTAAAAATCATTCCCACCCTCATTTGTTAAATAAAACCCTAATCAATAAAACTACAAGCATATAGATTGAAAAAAAATATTCATAAGAGAAGCTTCACGTTGATGATTGATATTCAACCAATTAATCCCGACTTTTGTCCCCCATTTGTATGTTCCTCTTTGGGAAATTTTCATCTTTGTGGAACTTGTTTCCTTCAATCCAATCAATCTTCCCTACTGTTGGGACACTTTTAGGTCAAGGTGGACTTGGGTTTTGAGAACGTCCTCTTGTCTTCCTTAGTTCGGTTTCGCATCAAGTTCCAGAATATCTTGAAAGAGTTAGCTTATCTTGGGAAATATCCCGGTTAGATCGATCACTCGAAGATTAGCATGATTAAGCAAATAATGGCTTGCTTAAGTGAGATATGATGTGGAAGCTAGAAGTCCATCAGTTTAGCATGAGAGAGAGAGAGAGAGAGAGAGAGAGAGAGAGAGAGAGTTTGCACGGTTGTATGGTTGTATATTTCAATATTATTTATCTTCTTCAACTCTAAAAACCATTCTTGCCCTCCTTTGTAAAATAAAACCCTAATCAATAAAACTACAAGCATAATTGGAAAAAAAAATATTCATAAGAGAAGCTTCACGTTGATAATTGATATTCAACCAATTAATCCCAACTTTTGTCCCCCATTTGTATATTCCTCTTTGGCAAATTTTCATCTTTCTGGAACTTGATTCCTTTAATCCAATCAATCTTCCCTATTGTTGAGAGACTTTTAGGTCAAGGTGGACTTGGGTTTTGGGAACGTCCTCTTGTCTTCCTTAGTTCGGTTTCGTATCAAGTCCCAAAATATCTCGAAAAAGTTAGCTTGTCTTGGGAAATATCCCGGTTAGATCAATGACTCAAAGATTAGCATGATTAAGCAAATAATGGCTTGCTTAAGTGAGACATGATGTGGAAGCTAGAAGTCCATCAATTTAGCATGAGAGAGAGAGTTTGCATGGTTGTATGGTGTTTTAGGTTGGATAATCTTGGTTTCCTATTGCAGTAACGAAGTTTATGATGGATAGAATACTTGGAGGAAAAGCTATGGAATAACACTAAGGTTGTAGGGGTGTTGCTTTATGGGCTTCCAGTCTTTGTGTTATCCCTTTTCTCTAAGGATTTTGACCTATATTTGCAGTTGAACAATTGCTTCCCAAGGAATCTCTAATTGTGGCTTGGTCCCTTCTCTCCTTTCTCCCTAGTTCTTCTGCCACCATTATTTTGGTGCAAGACGCCTAGGTGCTGCCACCTTATGAAACCTGCATCATGCCTTCTTCCCAATGTGCTGTTTTTCCAAGTTAGTCTTTCACATAGGCTACTTCTGGTAATGCCTCAGGAATTTTATGCGTCAATCTTATACGTGACCCATTAATGCAAGCTTTACTGGCTCTTCATGTGATTCTAAGGTTGAAGGATTTGATTCACTCCTAACTAAGTTGGTTAGCTTGCTAGGTAAATGGGAAATTGGGTTTGGTTCTTTCTTAGGCTTACCCACATAAGCTTCAAGGGTTATAGGCTTGGAAATTTAGGCCCCCCAAGTAGCCCAAAGTCTTCCATAAGATTGACTCCACATAAGCCCAATAAACTTCCGTAACCATCCACACCACAATTCACTTGGCAAACCCCGAGTATCTGACTTGGGCTTATTCTAGCCTGAATAGTAATTAGTGTGATAAAGCTTGGCATGATGAATAGGCACAGGCATGGCATG